GCCTTTTATTAGCTAGGTGATTCGGCTTGCGTAAATGTGCCTTGTTGGCCATCGCGTTTAAATGACGCCCGCACCTAACTCAGGTCACTACCCAACTGTCAAGTTGCTGCAGCTGCACTCCAATGGGTGCCTAGGTTGCCTGCGCTATTCTAGTCGCCTTTTCACTTTTCTGCCACTGGGATCTATGCTTCTGACCTAAATTCTTTCCCCTCTTAGGCTAAACAGCCTCGCTGATTGAGCTGATCTTCACTTAAAAACGAATTTAAATTTGACCGAAAGTAGGTTTTAGGCAATTGTATGCAAAACTTTGCGAGGTTTATGTCTTTGACAGTGGAGCCATGGTTTAGCCATAGTGGGCCATACTCGATTACTGAGATCCACATTCGCCACAAATGGGACCAGCTTGGTTGCCAGTGTGGAGGCTTTCTGATTCTTCCACCTACCACTGGATTGGAACATTTTTGCTTCGGTCTATTTGCACTTTTCACAGCGCATAAATTTAGAAAGCAGTTCTTTTGTGACAAAACTGGGACCATACGCTCATTAGGAATGTGCGCTGCTTGTTGCTCAAGAGGTATCAAATTGAGTGTTTATCACACCACATTGGATTGCATCCTAGCCCAAGGTGGAGTCTACCCGCACTGACCTAGTGGCAAACAAGTTTTTATTGGCGAACATATCAATTCCTCTGTGATTTGCCTCAAATCAGATTGGAAATGCTTCATCTGAGCTACGGATCCCTCTTCTATACGAAAAAGTGGGACCCATATGTGTTGCCGCAGATGTACTTGACTTCTGCACGCAAGAAATAGTGCAAAGTCCATGAGCCCTCATCACAGCCTTAAACAACTGATCTTAAACTTGAAGAGCTATTTGACAATTCAGACCTAAGAACGCCATTGAATGCCATTGCCAGGATGGGAAAATGTACACACAGGTACTTACACAGCAAAATCAAATATTAAGGTCATCTTACCTACAAAAAAGCAACCAAAAATTCACGGGAGTAAGATGAATACAAGGAGAGAAAGGGTTGCACTCATTCATCTACACAGAATAACAACATATAGGTGAATAATAATACCGAGGGAAGACAAGAATCTCTCTCACTTTTACTCCCCTAATCTGTATAGCTGTACACAAAGAATGATATGGGAGTGGGAACCTCAAGACTGCTTCAGAGAAGGGAGCGACCAAACTTGAGGAGGAAATAGGTCCCAAGGAGGATAAGGACGAAGAGCTCGCGGCGGTTCTGCCTCGCGAGGGCCTCCTCCAGCGCTGCCACGCGCGTTACCAACTCCTCCAACTGACTCTCCAAATTCACAGCCGGGGAGGCCTCACAGGCATTTACGGAGACGTTAAGAGGAGGCTGTTCGATCAGGGTCCGATCGTCATCCGGTGGACTGTAGGGGCTGCTAATAAAAGAAGAATAAAGTTAACGGAAGTCTTCGCTGTTAATAACACTACCATCACCATTGTCGGAATCGGTTACACTGCATGCGTTAGTCACTATGACAGTGAACTCATTTTGACATCTGGAGTTCCTCAGGAGCTAACCCGCCGATGCACTGGAGGACTAAATGGCTCAAGGTTAGATTGAGCTAGACCAGTTGTGTTCAACGAAACCCCCGCCACAAGGCTGCTGATACCAAACCCGCACACCTACGGTAATCTCATTACTCAATCTAGATTTCCGCAGCAGCAGACTTAGCGCAGCCCAGTAATGTGAACTAAGATGCTGGTAGTTAAGTTTTGTTCAAACGCTTCTATTCACGCTATCAAAGCTTATGATGGGAATGAGAACGGACACACAAACAACTTCTTGTTTTAAAGAAAGGTGGAGGATATCGTATGATCAATCTACATGAAACATCTTCCTGCACCCATATGTAGAGAGAGCCGAGTCCCATTGCCAGTTGTGCGTCAAGAAGCATTTTACAGAATCCACCCCCACGCGCTTATTGAACTCGAAACATGAGTAGTGAAGCGACCATAACAGCATTATTCTCACAGAATTCAAAGAAAAAATAACATTGACAGAAATCCCCACCTTAGTCGTGTTCAACACAGCCGCAGGTTTACAAGGCCTACAGTTGCACGCTTCGTAGTCTTACAAGTATCCATTGTGATACATGGCTCGAACAAATATTACGTTAAAAAATGGTTCTGCTAGCATCAAATGCAAGCTTTTGGAAACTAACTTAATTATTTCCATTTGGACTGGTGCGCATGATCAGCTTTAAGTCATTTAGTGAATAATGAACCAAAAACGGTGCAGACGTGTTAGATCATGTGATTATAAAGTATATCAACTAGCATTCAATGAGACTCTTCCAGGAAAAAAAACGAATTTTATAAAAGTATGCTTATGCCTATGTTGGCAATGAATCAGTAAATGCAAATGATAGGATCAAGGTAAACTTGACTCAATAGATGAAATTAATAGACTTACTGAAAGAGACTGAGGTTGCTGTTCTCCTTAGTACCAGCGATAGACGAGCAGAGAGGTTTACTTAATCGGTCAATGTCTGGATAATCCACCTGTCCCAATACTAAGGATTCTGGTGGGGGCTCCAGGCTTGGTCTAGCCACAGGGAGGTCTAGGTGAACAGTGAGACACGCTTAACACGAATCGCTTTGATTCGAAAAATGTAAATTATATACAAAACATGGATAGTGACTTATGTTTGGGTTAATACCAGAACATGCTTACAAATCATGAATTCAATCACAGCCTCATTTTGAGGGACTAAAAATGAACGGCCTCAGAACCAGAATTTATAAGTCACCGAAGGACTAACGAAGTGGCAATGTAAAAGACAAAGGAAGATGGGGAATCAGAATATTGTGGACGCTTACCATATGGGTTATAAAGGCGATTGGACTCGTTAGAACCTGAAATAAGGACGCGGCTGTGGGTCCCTACGCTTGAGATATTATCCGCCGAAGAGAAGTCAGGAAGTACAAGAGAGAGCCTGTTCGGAACCTGCATTCTATTACTTATATCGGTGGTGTAATCTAAATCTATCATTCTTTTGTCAAAACCTGAGTCCATATAAATCAAGAAGTTGATGAAAACATAAATGGACCCCAGCCGTGAGTAGTCAGGCTAGCTCAGTAAGGGCATAGGCTTGAATTGCTACTTGTTGTAAAGTTCGG